GGGGACTCGGCCCCGCGGGCACGGGGTGGGCAGGCTGGGGAGGCGCACGCCGGACCGTGCCGTGAGCTCTCGGAGCGGGCGACGGCGCAGCGACCAGGCGCGCGAGTGTCCACACGTGCTTTATTCACAGCCCCTGCCCCGCCGACACCGGGCCTCGGCGGGCTTGTGTTTTTAATAATAAATAAAGACTCAACTCTAAAAATATATATATAAAAACGGGGAGAAATCAAGTTTTACAGTTGGAACTCAGAACTCCAGGATGAAAGTACAGACCGAGTCTGGACGCCCCGGCCAGCCCCGCCGCCCACGGGCCGCGGGTCAGAAGCAAGAAAGGGAGGAGGGGGGAGGAGGATGACGAGGGGGAGAGGGGGATGGTCGGGGGGGAGGAGGACGGCCGAGGGCCGCTCAGACACGAATGCATCTGGGTGACAGCTGTGTCATTAGCGAACTCCGTTCTGCCTTTCCTCTGGGTCTATGCCCAGGCGGGCCGGGTGCAGCGTAGATCCTGGACTTACAGTCACACCAACAAAAATACTCTCGCCCCCCGCCCCGCCCCANGGCAGGGACGGACGAGGGGAGGGGCGGCCGTGCAGGGGCAGGTGGCTCGGCTCCGGGAAACACAAGGCACTTTCTCGGGGCTGACCCGCGGTGGGCGAGGCGGTGCCCGCGGGAACTGGCCATGAGGTGGGGGTCCGAGGCGCCTTAACGCAGCTCCTCTGCCCCGGCTGCACCCTCAGAGCGGGACGGAGAAGTGGGGCGCGCCCGGGGCCGACGGGCCGAGGGTCTGGCGGGGCCCGGCACGCTCCCTCCACGGCCGGTGGTCTCCGGCCGCCCCCGCCCGCTACAGCACGCCCTCCATGAAGCTGGTGTCCAGGTGCTGGATGAGCACGCGCAGGAACGACATCTCCTTGCGCGTGTTCTCGAAGATGACGCGCGGGTCGTCGGACTGGCAGCGCAGGCAGTTGGGCGCCATCACCATGGCCAGGTTGCTGACGTCCATCTTGGTAACAGCCACGTTGGCGGGCTGCACGAACACCTGCGCGAGGAGCGGCGGGTGGGCGGG